TCTTGCAAGATAACCTCCCTTGATCGACTAGGGCAGTTTTCTAGTCTTTTGTTATCTTTTGGATTTTGTTTTACCCAGTTCTTGACTGATTGATGTAAATAGATGACTTCAGACTCATTTTTTTTTTAGTTTAATGGGTTTTAGAATTTCTTTGAATTGAGCAATTTTCATTTCAATTCTGGTTTTTCCATTACTTTCAAAAAAGAATTGAAATTTCGAAACTAAATAAGGATTTTTTTTAAAAAAACCCAACAGAATTCCCAAAAACGTACTTTCTGGATTTTTCTTACAAAATCAAAAGGATTTTTGAGAGTCTTCAATATTGAATGTTTGCGTTCGTTTGTCTCACAAATTCATCTATTGGATTTGAATGGAATAAAGAACTGTCAGACTAGTTTTATAAGCTCCTCCGTAAAATGGAAGGAGAGGTTATTTGCCGCTTGTTTGACTGGATGATCTTGATTTTTGGTATCTCGTTTTGAAGGTCTCTTAATTTTAGCTAGTTCGATATATAAAATTTCTTGACTCTGGGCAATTTTTTACTTTTCTTTCGGGATTTTAAAATTTTTGGTTGTACGACCTTAGAAGTTACATGCTGTAAAAAAAAGCGTGTTTTACACGAACAATTGCATGGTGATCTTTAACAAACTTACTGCCTCAATTCTTATAAAATTTTGTCTATCTACACCCAACGTGGGCATTTATTTGAAAAAACTCCGATCGGTATTTAGAGATAGGTTTTTTGCTGTTTCTCAGTTTGAAGGTCGTAAAACCAAAAAATATAAAATCCCGAAAAAAAAGTAAAAATTGCCCAGAGTCAAGAAATCTTATATATAGAACTAGCTGAAATTAAGAGACCTTTAAAATGAGATATCGAAAATTTAAGATCATCCAGTTGACCAAGCGGCAAATATTGAAAAATGTTTGCAATGGTTTTTCGTCGAAACAAACTATGCTTAGAGGAACTTTTTCGTCAATGGTTTCCTTTTCTTGTCATAATTCTTCATGTTGTTAATGATGATATCGCTGAGCCATTCTTGTTTTCAGCTGGAGATGTCACAATTAAGGCTATTTACACAAATGCTCCCCAGATTTCGTTCTGCGTTTTCTCTGTTTTTGTGAGGCCCCGTTAACCTTGTGTCATTCTAACTTCACGCACGATCACCGACTCGCTCGATTCAGTGCAGTTCGCTTGCAAAATGTGAAGTTCAGGTATCACCTCTTAAATTAAACTACACTTAGGAGTTTTTGTTTGACCCAGAAACTGCTTGAAAAAATTCTATTTCCAATAATTCTTGCAGCTTTTCAGGAATCGTAAAAGGGCTTTCGCCCTTAACAACGTTCCAGATAAAAAAATAAATCTAAAAATGTAAATTAAAAAGAAAAATGTAATTGACTGGGGGTTTGAAAGTAAAATTTGTCCCGGTTGAGCCACACGCAACTTTTTTTTTGATAAGAACGCATTCAATTATTGATTTTTATTGTTTTAGCTGGCATTTTTGGCACAATTGTGGCTTGACGTCCCGGGTTTACCAAAAATGCGAATCATACTATTTTCATAAGCACAAAAAATTGCATGAAAGGTCCATGATCAGTGATTTTTCAAACTGTATGACTAGCTTTTTCTTTAAACTAAAAAATTTGATTTTTTAAATTTTAATTTCTCAAAATTTTTGTGTTGGGTTCGTAACCAATCACAAGTGGCAAAGAAATGGTTACTCAAAATAGAATCACCAAAATTTTGACCGTCTCTCAATCACATTCCATCGGAAATGGCCTGAATTGTCTTTTTTGTCATAAACAAAGATATAATAAAAATATCAAACTTTAAAAATTTAGCAAAAATTTTCAAAGTTGCTTTTTTCAATTTGAGTTTTAAATTAATTTTGCATTGATCGAGGCATACAAAAAGATGCCATACAAATAAATAGGAGTTTTGAACATTTTTTGAAAGAATTTATTTTGTGAAATAGAGCAAAAATCAACTTTTGTCTATCCAGGACTACGTTATGCACACAAAAAACTAATTTTTGCTGGCAAAATTTTTTTGAAATTTGTTTGCTTAGGTAACAAATTCGTTTTGCGATTGAAAAAAAAACTAGAATTTTTTGGGGCAACTTCGATACTACTTAGAAAAATTTTTGCTGTCGCCATCAAAAAATGCTAATTCCATATGTGGAAATTGTATGAATAGCAATTTTCTGACAAACAGTTTTTTCTTTTTTTTGTGAAAGACGACACACCAATTTTTAAGCCAAAACAAGAAAAAATCCTTTGAAAATTGGATGAATTCATTTTAGCAAAATGTATGAAATTTTTATGAGTTTTTTTTTTCATAGATTAAGTTTATGGAATCATATGACTAGCATTTTCTGTCTATGGAGGTCAACCCGGGCTGTGGACAACTCTGACCAGATCGAAAATTTATATTCACACATGCTTTTATTCTACTCTTTTTCACATTAGTGAATAATTCAATCCTACTTTTAAATTTTAAAGCAATCTCAAATGCAATCAATAGATCTATCAACTGGTCAATTTTACCTGAAATTTTTTGAAGTTCCAATTGACTTCTGTTTCGATTTAAAAATTCTGGGTTTCATTTCTAACACCTTCATTTGATTTTTAGTTTTCTCTGTTAATTTTTAACAATCTACTTTGCTTTCGTACGTGCATTTATCAACACAAAATAAACATAACAGTTACCATGCTCATTCAATTGTAGTAATTTTTAGCCATCATGCTTTCTTAATTGTTGGGCTATGTCGGTTAAAGAGTGCCTCCGTTTCGCACAATCAACAGTGCGTTCGACTGGTTTTCTTTTTTGTCAATTTTTTCTCTTTCTGTTTTTGTCAATTTTTTTTCGCCAGCAGTTAGCTACCTTTGTTGCTTCTTTGCGCCGATGGCATTAAGTCTTTCGCCTGCTTCACTGCCTGTTTTTCCCTAAACGGTACACCACTACGCCTTTATTAATTACTCTGTTTTCGTTTTTAGCGCATAAGGCGTGATTGTTTTTAGCTTCTTGACTGATTAATTCTAACTAAGCAAGCTTAGGGTTCAATCAACCCTGGTGTCAGGCTTACATCTAGAGTTTCAGCTGCTAGTTTCGCTTTTCTCATTTTTTTTTCGACACCATTGGCACTATTTGGTCAGATTGCGCAGCAATGACTAGATCAACCTGTTCGTTGTTTAGAATGCGATGACCTTTCGAGCTTTCCGACGAAGGTTCTAGGTCACTTCCTTTGTCACAATCCTTTATTGTCGGGTATTCGTTTGGCGTCCCGCGTTTTCGGTTAAAACTTTGCAATATTTGACTCAACATTTTTTAATTTTGATTGTTTACTAAAGGTTTTTAGCCAGATTGCAAAAGACCGTATTTTTCTCTCAAGAATGGTGCAACTCAAACGGTGCTTTTTAGTGGATTCATGATTTTAATATTAATTTAGTACCCAACGTTTTCATTTTCTTTTTGCCACCTTTGGGAACTTTAACTAGAATAATCCTTAGTGAACAGGTGGTTCGTTAACTCATTCCGGTGACCCGATGTTACATGGTTACATCAGTCCGGCGAAGAAAAGTCGCAACATCTACTTTTTAAAAAATTGCATAATTTTCCGACTTAGCTCAAAAAGGGCGTATGCTGTAAGCAAAGGTGAAAATATATCTAAGCATTTATGAACAGAACTATATCTGTTTCATCTGTCCTCTGTTTGATTCCATTTGATTGATACTCATCTGAAAGCCAGTGATTGATATCCTGAGCTCGAAATAAAAAAGGTAATTTACATGTGTTGATTTTTGAAAAAAATTATCGGGGTTTGAAAATTGCCAATCTGGCTAACTTGAGGCAATTAACACGCGAGATATTTCGCGCTATTAATTACGGGCTATTCAATCCGCTCATAACACGTTCCAAATTGATTTGAGTGAAACTTACATATGTTACTAGAACTCAAGAATATCATTTTGTAGTTGGCTCCTCAGTGTGCGGGGAGACGCTTTTAAAAACATCAAAAAGTTCAATTTTTCAAAAACTGCTTCAAAAACGCTGAAGGGCAGTCGAAACATTCCGGGCTTCGCTCTGATACGAGGGGTCTTGTTTAAATTTAAAAGTCGATCAAACTCATTTTAAAAATCTTGAACTCATTCTTGTGATTTGTATCGAGAGTGCCATTAGTTCAGAAAAAATCTCAGTTTTACTTATATCGTTTGCTGTCTGAAATATGAGAGAAAGAGTGGGTCTTTGAGCATTTTGCTTTTAAAAGTGAGCTTTTTCTCTTCTTTTTGTTTTATTCATTTTTAAATCTTCACAGGTGAGGTGTTGAAAGGGATAAATTGAAAGAGAGAGGGAGAGAGTGAACAGGTTAGAAATCGTTTGAAGCAATCGTCGTCCGTTCTTCCTGTTTCATCTGTCCTCTGTTTGATTCCATTTGATTGAGGATGGAAAAGGAAGTACACAGTTCATTGATCTGATAGGTCATTCCTCATCGTCGTTCTTCTTAAATCAATTTCCTCTTCTAATTAACATAAGCATTACAAAAGCCACAAATAAACACCTGAAAAGTTACGAAGATTAAAAATGTTCCGGTTTTAGTTATAGAGTAAGCACTAGAAAAAACGGAAAATATATCAACATTCCAAGAGACCAAGAAGAAAAAATTAATTAATATTGTCAAGAATGTCATTTTTATCAAATAGGATAATCAATTTTGAGCAGCTTCACATCAGCTTCAGATGCAGCGAGTGAGTGATATTTGTATATTTTAATGTTAACTTAAAATTAGAACAGGAAATTGCAACAGAGCCGGTCATAATGTTTGTTCTTAAAACTTAATGAGAGCACAGGGGGCTATCATTGTAACCGAAGGACCGAATGTCCAAAAACTTTCAACCAATCAACAAACCTAAATTTTGCAAAACTGATTTATTTTCAGCCTTACTTCTTTTGATTTCTGAATACTGAATACTGATTTCTGATTAGGTGGCATAAGTTTCGTCTATTTAGTATTTCGGGAATGATAGATTCCGCATTGAGCACCTCGACCCGGGAACTTTAATCCTAAATCTACTAGCACCATAAAAAAGAATAATCTTTAAATGACTTTTAATGATTGATGATTGATTAATGACAAAGAATGGATCACAAAAGGAATGATAAATGTCTTGCTTTTCATACCTTTAACATCAAATAAACCACCTCATCCGGCTAGCACCATACTTTTACCAATCGTGTCATGTTTCAAAAGCGGCGCCGCATTTCATCTACCGATCAATACGATACGCTGTGTTAAGTTGTGATGTGTTTTGTAAATTGAAAGGTCTTTAATTTGTTACTCAACTTGTGTTTCCCTTTTTGTTGTTGTTCCGACTTTTTTGATCCTATCCTTTTCCTTCTGTTGTGTTTTGTTTATTTTTGATCCTATCCTTTCCTTGATGGATGATGTGATGTTTGTTGATGAGCTATTGGATGTTATCTTCTGTTGCAGTATATGTTAGATGTCGTCCGTTTGAATTCTATGACCGTGACTTGTCAGTTGTGATTTTTGATAATGATACACAGAGATATCTTTCATCTCAGCTGACCATATGTTGTCTCTACTTCAACTTGACTCATCGTGGATCTCAATGACGATGTCCATCATTCGTGTCTTTCTACTGACCTTTTATTCACTTCAATGAACCGCGTTTTCTTTGTCCCTTTTAGCCCTGTTTTGGTTGACATCTGAAAACATTTCAAGAGTTAAAAGGTGAACAATACTGAGCGAGTTGAAAGCGATGCCAAATTGTTATTGTTGTTCTGGTCCGTCGGTGCTAAACAGCTTAGATCAAGTCAAGTCGATAGATCTGTTCTATTTGTCACTTCGGGGAGGGGGATTAAAATTATTTATCCTATTTTGTATATTATAAGACTCAATGCCTAAAGAGCCATAGGGTCTCTCTTCATAAACTCAAATCGCCTTATCTGTCGCCTTATCAAATTTCTCACAAATAACCGAGAAAAACGTCAATATCTTTCTGAAATTTGAAACTTTCAAAACATCTTTTTCCAGCATATTGGTAAGAAAAATTGATAGAATAAATTTGATCCCATTGAATTGATTTTGTATTTGATGATTATATGATTCAAATAATTTTCGAGCTTGACATTATATTGACCTTAATTTCGGCCCGTCCGGCCCATTTGTAATTGATTATCATGTTTCTTGGTTTGGAGTAATTACCAAGGGTTCTTATAACAATCAATTGCTCTGAGCGACAGTCTAAAGCAATAGCGAAGCTTCTCTAATTGGTCAATTGGGTTTATCCAATCTAAGACAGGTTACAATTTTGATGGTTCTGTGCTAACTCCAAATTACAACTTACGAAATGGTTAACCTATTGCTTGTTACTTAATCAAGACGGTCCAAGCTGAGACAAAAACGATTATCTAATTATTCCAACTAATAATTGTACAAACAGGGGCTTAATTTGTCCGAAAAAGTCATTAAATTACGTGTTAATTGGTAAGTCTATACCAAGTTCCTATAAAGACTAAAACCTGAAACTGGCCCAATCGAAAAAATACTCTTCCAAAATCAAGAACCATAAAATTTACTCATATTCGATTTCGATCGCGCGTTTGGAGATTAGATTACAAACAACACTTCTAGTTATCACTACTATTATTTTTCCGATTTTTTTTATCTCTGCATTTCGACCGTAACAAATTTTTCATCTGGTGTCGCAACAATTTTAAATCCATCCAATAGAATTAATCGCTCAAAAATCCTTCAGATGTATCCTTTGAACAAAAATATCTTTAATGTGCCGCTATAAAAAGAAAAATATTTTCACCTCCAGCATTTCACTATTTATTTGCTGAAGTATCCTTTAAAATTGAGCAATTCCACTATTTATCAATTCTTGTGCAATTACAACTGAATTTTGTTCAGGAAAATTAACATTTTATAGTCACTTAAAATTTTTCAGTATAAGATTTTTAGAAGTTGATTTTGAAAAAATGCAAGCTGATAGTTGTGTTGTTCCTGCTTATTACAACCCAGTTACTGTTTATACCAAACTACCCAGAAATTTTTCACCAACCGGGTCCTATTTAGCCCTAAATCAGGGATCAAGTTCTTCGATCCCCCCTAACTCATTAAATACCTGCAGCAGATCCTACTCGTACAGAAACACAAACGATTTTAACCCCTTGAGAATTGGCTGTAATTACAGAAATCAAACAAGTCTGGTTCCATTAGATGGTGTTAAAAACAATTTCAGCAGCGAAAGAGACAATTTATCCTCTGAAAATAGTATCCCTATAAACTCAGGAGCAGAAAGTTTGAATAAATCTTCTTTACCAAACTACCATTCGCCATCAACTTTGTCATCAATTTCAACCTATCTGGAGGTTTCACCTGTTAAATTGGAGACTACAGTTACAGAAAACGAGGACAGATTGCGTAATCATGACAACCATGCCGAACAGTACAGTTGTTTTTCGTCGCCAAGATCCCAAAATGGGTTTGAGTCGAGAAGAGATTCCAATCAGTCAGAAATTTACGCAGCAATTTTGAACCGGAACTTTTCGGCTGAAAATAATGACGACCAATATCATCAGAAGCAGAAAACGAGTAGCAATGGTGCCCTGTCAAATTATAGCAGCAATAGAAGCTACACCGTCTATGATTCGTTTTTGAACTTCACAACTGAACTTTTGGTAAGCTTCAAACTTCATAACACGAAAAGTGCTTCAAATAAAACATTTCATAAGACATTTCTATGGTACTGGATTTTTGTCAGAAATCTTATAATGATATGAGATCCTTAAAATATGGGATGTTTTTGAAATTGACACCTCCTATTTGGCGCCAAAATGATGAGCGCTGTTTTCATACAAACAAGCCTCCTGTTTTTTATTTAAAATATTTTCGATTGCTGATCTAGTGATCTAGTTGCAGCCATTTTACACCAAACAAAATTACTCAATCCATTAGTTACCCAATATTGGTTTAATGTCATATTTCTATTGGGTCTTTGATTAAATAGGCAAAAAAGCGAAGGTGAGTTTGAAGGGGGAAGTTTTCAAAGAAGCTCCATTGGTGTCATTTTGTCTCGCGTTGCTTCTAGCTGGCGTCGCTTTAATCTAGTTGAAAGTTTAGATGGCATCAAATAATGTGATCCTAATCTGATAATCTGACCATTGAGTGTTAACTCAATTAGTCAATGCTCCCACCAGGCTAAGAGTGGGTAGCTCCGATTCCTTACCACTTTCAAGTGAGCCATTGAACTTAGAGAGAGTAGTGTCGATTTGTTATCCTGGAGGGGATCGAATGTTTTGACTTCTTTAAGTTTCACTTCTAAGGCGCAAGAAAATCAAAGCACTATAAATTTGTTACCACTTATCGCGATCAATCAATTTTACATAATTGTGTACCTATGTTACATAATCGGGCCCGCGATAGGTAAGCTGAAATAATTGAAAGGTGTCTTCTAAAGAAGAGAAGCGAGCCGCATTTTCAGAAATGAAAGACATAAAACAACTTAAAGTCAGCCGAAGTAATTAACAGGTTCAGAGAAAGGTAGTACTATGTTGTTTATAAAAAGCATAGCCTAGTTATGAGAGTCATTTCATTAATAAAAACGTTGACGTCTGATAGTATCGAATGAAATTAATGTCGACCATTTGAGAAAACAGTTTGTGAAATCATTTTACAAATCCCGATTAGTTTAAATCCTCAGATATCAACTAAAACTTATTAAAAACTCACTCTTATCTTAATTTATTGGCTATAAACTTGCTAACAATTTTTTGAGAGAAGTTTCCAAAAAGTCTATAATTGTCATTTTTTATCTGAAGTCGACCTCTGCATTCCATTCTTTGTCTCAATCAATTATTCTAATCAAGTCTTTTTTTTGTTCCGACTTTTTACTTTTTTTTATCTGATTTAATCAATATTTATCTGAAGAGCCGTCACTTGAGTTGCTGAATATGACTGTTTTATGTCAGAGTTTTGAAGAGTTCTTTATTTTACAAGTATGTCAAATGTAATTAACTCCTCAATACTTTTCAACTACTATCTAGAAATCCCGTCCCTTTTTAAAAACATCGGCTGTCAAATTTTTATGGGGAATTAGCTTTCTTTTTTGAAAGGGTTTGAGTTTAATCAAAAACTGCCTCATATAATCACAATCAAATTCTGGAACAGACAGAGCTTTTTAAATCTTATACCCGTGTTTTGTTTTTAGGACTCAGTAGACATCAACTCGACCAGTACTTCCAGCTCAGATGGCGGACAATCAGAAGGAAAAATAACCAAATCCAAGCAACCCCACCCAAATAGTCAGTCTAACAACATGTGCAATGTATCCCAACCTCACAACAACAACAACAACAACAACAACAACAACAACAACAACAACATCAGCAATAAAAACAACAACAGTGGTATGGGAATATCGTTCACTAGTCTCAAGAAGCTCTCCAATACTTCTGCAGCATCTTGTCTGGGAATAGACCACATCAGGGAAGACCCGGAATCAATCATCGATAACCACGTGTCCAGGTGAGATTTTGGAAGATAAAGATGAAATTGCCAGTGCTTCCACCTTCAACCAGAAGCTGGGTAGTTCGAGGCCCCGCTCTGATTAATATTTAAATTCTTGGGGGTTAGGCAGATCAGAAAAAGAAACTCTAAGATCATAATTAGGTATTAGAAATTTTTTCGTATTAGGTAGTTTTATGTAGCGCTTCTTTGTTTGACATGTCTGTATTTTTGTTGGCAGGGTGTTTTGCGATTCGACTCAGAGTCGAGTGAATACGCAGCCAAAGACAGCTGACCGGTTCCCAGCCGTCACCTTCCAACATCAGTACTACCAAACTCCAATGAACAGCCAACAGACATATCACCAACGCAATTTGTCCAGCTGTAGCCAAGGTCTAGGAGATGTTGGTCTCTCATATCAAAACATCTGGCAAGTTCCCAACATCATTAATTCAGGCTTAAGAACTGGAGAAGGACACAGAGGAAATCCGCAAAGCCAAAAGTACAGGATCTCCCCAGTGAACACAAGATCTGGAGGGGCTCCACACAAGCAAATAGTGGCGGATAACTTAAGCAGCAAATCAGCAAGCTCTGGGATCGATTCCGGGGTGTATGATGCCCAGAGTGTAGGCTCGTCCGACAGCTACGGTGGAAAGTAAGTCACAAATATCTGGCTTTTAATTACTCATTCATTGAATCACTTACAAAAGTTTAACGACTCTGTATCCGTAGTTTTCATAAAAAATAACATTTTACTTTAGAATTCAAGTTTTAATTCAATAACCTATGTTCAATTATAGATTTAATGTTGATTTAATGCTTTATTCAAGGAGACACTTGAGAAATTTTTCAGAGTAACCAGCTTTTTTTGGTTCTAGGCAAGCAATGGTGACTCACTGGGTTGAAACACACAGACAAATTAGACCAGAATTGAACACAACGACCCCGATACTCGCATCCAACAAGCTCAATTTAGCCAATGGACCGCTACCAGGAGGTTGTCCGGGACCTATTTCAGCAACCAGAACATCGGCAGAATCCCAGAATCACTACATGATTCCCTTGAAGTCTCCGAGTCCCCTAAGTTCCATGCAACTGGCGATGTCGGCTGTGGGACCGCATCAGCAATATCAAATGAGCCCAAACAACGCTTTTATATACAGTAGCTCCACAAATGTGGTTCCGCCTAGAGTCTCATACCAACTATCAGACCCCTACACATCTGGAAACATCACCAACACACATGCCCCCAAGATCACAAATAACACATCATTGATCACAACAACGTCAACCCAAGGAAGAATCACGTCATCTTCTACCCAGTCACCAGTCTTCAACTTTTCCATCGGTTCACAGAACGCTCAATTGAACAATACCCAGCAATTCCCAGGCACATTCCAAATGGCAGGACGTAGCGGTTCGAATCCGCGTCTGAATGGATCATCATCGAATGCGTCTTCGGACAGTGAGCAGACAGTAGTGGCTTACTACTTCTGCAACGAGACAATACCCTACAGGACTATTGTACCTTTCAAAAATGTGACACTTGGACAGTTTAAAGCCCTATTGACAAGGAAAGGAAAGTTCAGGTAAATACAGCATGTTTGGATTTACTTGGTTGTACTTACTTTAAATAATAGTAAGTTAATATTTAGTTAATGGCACTGAAAATATGGAAAGATTGGTATCATGCATGCGTAAAAATTGATATCATTTCTACATGTGACAGAAATTGATATCATATGACAAGTTGAGAGTTTTTAACTTTCGTTATTAGACGATATGGCCCGTTGACCGTTATCAAATGTCTTTGATATTCATATAATTTGAACGAAGTTGTTATTATCAGCAATTAAATTAGATATTATGTTTCTAGGTATTTCTTCAAGATGCGTAGCAATGATATTGAACTTGGGGGAGTTGTTCAGCAGGAGATCACGGAAGACGAAAGCCTGTTGCCCCTGTTCGACGGAAAGATCATCGGAAAAATCGAAAAACAATAGAACTTGGAGCCTTTTTGTCGCTATTATACAACATTTCGTCTAATTATTACCGCGAAAACTGAAGGAGATCAAACAAATAAAAACCGATTGTTCCGACAACTGTCCGAGTTACTTAAAACTCTTTAGACAGATAATAAAAAAGAAAGCAGTAAAGACGATGTAATGGCAACATTATTGGCAAAACTGAGACACTTAAATCAAAATTAGCCCATAGAAACTGTCTATGGACCAGCGCTCAAGCTCAAGATTGGCTGCAAAAAGCATTAAGCTTGTCTCGCTTCAGAACGTTTAGATTATAGTACGTGATCGAATTTTTTGATTTAAATAATACAATTTAAAGGTTTTTATTTTTAATTCTTTTAAATACTAAAAACTAACAAGACTGCTCGTGTCAGGGCAAAGCCCTGAATGTTCCGACTGCCTTTTAAGGTTTATTGAGCAGTAATGACATTAAAAAATTGAATGTAATAACCCAAATGAAAATTTTTGTTTTCTGAAATTTGAAGTTTTTTTTTCTGAAAATCAACCCCCCCCCCCACACGCCATATAAAGTACGAAAAAATAGATTCGATGTTAGTAACAATCAATTATGGCAAAAAAACTTATTTCAACCAATTTGGACCGATTTCTTGAACGGATTAAATTTCCGCTTAAGCGTTAAAAGTGCGAAATATATCGCGCGTTAATTGTCACAAATTGGCCAAAATGGCAATCTTTAAACCCCAATAACTTTACGAAAAATGATCACAGGTGAAATATCTTTGAAAAAAATCAAATTTGAGCTCAAGAAAACAATACCTTTCGAATGATATAAAAAAATTCCGTCAAAAATGGCTAGATAAAAAGTCAAAAATTGTCTGAAGAAAAAAAACCCACCCCGAGCACAAATATTCCGTTTCTTTTGTATCGAAAGTCGGAACAACAAGACTGCTCGTTTAAAGTATACTTTGCCCTTTACAGTCTATGAAAAAGTTGGAAAGAGAAAAAACCACCCGAGCACAAATATTACGTCCTTTCTGCAAAAGTCAAAACTGCTCGTATCAGGGCGAAGCCTTGAATGTTCCGACAGCCTTTTTAAGGCCTATAAAGTAGTGCGCGCAAAAAATTTTGCAAGAATTTCGAAAAAAAAGAAAGACACATGATTTCTTCTCGAAAATCGTCCCCACACACTATGTAAAGTACAAGGTGATGCATTTCGCTTATAGCAAATACTTTAGAAGACAAAATAGCATGCCTCATTTCAAATTGCGACAATTTCTAGGACAGACAAAATCTCCGCTGACGTTTCAAAAGAACGAAATCGTGTTCATACGTACATACATAAACACACGTATAAATTGTTAATGAAATTTGGCTATTGCGATAAGAAAAAAACAAGCGAATTGCAAAAATTTTAGTACTATTTCAGACCAGTTGAAATCGGAGACAACAAACAAGGGTTTGCCACGATATGAACAATCGTTTTTTGTTACTGATAACAAAGTAGCAGCAACCGTTTGTAAATTATGGCTTTTAAAAAGCAAAATAAGTCAAGTTTTATCAGTCCTATGTCTGGAATTTTAAGTGGAAATTTGTCTGACAATTTGCAATTACACTCTTGCTTGAAAGAAAATAGCGCAAGTTATATGCTGGTATCTGTTTTCTATTCAGAGCAGTTTCGCGGCTGATATAATAGTTTTCAACAGAAAATGCTTATTCCCAAAAAATCGACGAGCCAATTTGGTTCAAATATAAAGATTTTTCTCTATATTTGCTTCATAAAATTGTTTTTGCTTAAAAAATTCGGGTTTGAAAAAAAACAATATGGCCTTAATCAGGAAAAAATAAATGTTCGGTTTTAAAAATTTACTCGTTGAAAATGCAAGTGTCCATTATATTCCTCTCAAAAAATTTTGAAATTGTTATTAGACCAAATTTCATTAAATTGTTTTGAGATCTAGTCGACTCTATTCATTACTTTTTGATTTAAATTATATTATTCACTGTTTGATAGTAGCTGTTGGTGAAGGACAAATAATTCAGTTCAAAAAAAAATTTGCTTAATTTTTTTAAAAAAGATTTACTGTTCGAGACTAGCTAAAACGCAATTTGAGAACAAACTTCGCCTTGATACAAACAATTTTTTTAGATAACTTTTTGTTGATAGTGCTGATTGTCAAGGTTGATTTTGTTTGAAAATGTCTGTCAAACTTCTTTGTTATTCAAGAGATTGGATTGTTTTTTTTGCAATTTGAAAAACAAATTGAAGTGTTTTTTCCAGATTTTTGTAGGAAATGAGGTATTTATACGTATGCTTCGTGTGCTTTGTTTATTAGAGCCAATTTACAGAGCAGTTGCACACCGCTATATTATCATGACTCTGCGGTTGCTATGAAATGAGCGGGGGCTATTCTCATGGGCGAAGAACTAATAGGCAAAAGACCGAAAACAAAAACAGCCGAAAGTCAATAATTAAAATGAATCAATTGCCGTGCAACTAAAAGGAATTAAATGAAACAATATTTTGCTTCTTTTATAACAAAATTCTTGCAATATAAAATTTGTTCCAATTCGCCGGCGTTCAGTGATAATTTGAAAGCTTTTCATATTTCTGCCGTTTTAATATTCAGCCAATTTTAATATAAAGTGCCTGGAAATATTCACTTTCAATGAGATAATCACGCTATGAGATATTCTTTCCTAATTTTGTAATAATGAAATCTGACTTATGAGGGATTCCACGGAAATGAGCCTTATAAAGTACTCGTTGTTCCGACTTTTGTAACGAAAGTAACGGAATATTTGTGCTCGGGGTGGGTTTTTTTCTTCAGACAATTTTCGACTTTTTAACTGACCATTTTTTTTTCTGTATTGATTTCCTGAGCTTAAATTTGAAAAAATATTTCACCTGTGATCATTTTTTTGTAAGTTATGGGGGGTTTAAAGATTGCCATTTTGGCCAATTTGGGACAATTAACGCGCGATGTATTTCGCACTATTAACGCGTAAGCGGAGATTTAATCCGTCTTAAAAATCGTTCAAAATTGGTTGAAGTAAGTTTACTTGCCATAATTGATTTTTTATTAGGATCACAATTTATCACTTTGTACTTAATATAGCGCATGGGGGATGAATTTCACAAAAAATCTCAAATTAAAAAATATATATAGTATTATTTGTGTTTATTACATTTAAGTTTTTCATGTTATTACTGCTCCATAGACGTTAAGAGGCAGTCGGAACATTCAGGGCCTCGGCCTGATACGAGCAGTCTTGCTTAACTTTGCTGCTGAAAAGATTCGTATTCATGTCGCACCTCGAAATTGTTTTGGAATGAATTGAGGTAAGCTAATTGGTTTTTGTAATTCCCAAAACATTCATATTTTGACTCTTCAAGTTCGATGTTATCAGCCCAAATTCCTTAGTTTGTCAAAATTTCCTTTATCAAATTTTTTCGAGACCAAGCAAAAGTGCAGTTGGAACATTCATTATTTTGCCCTGATATACCAGTAGTCTTGTTTTTTTTTAAAATTTTTTGCAATGGTATTACTGTTATTAATTTGGTGGAGTTATATTATTCTTCTGACTACTCTAAAATGGGAATCAACAAGGGGCATAGAGTGATTTATCCCCGCGAGATTTGGGTGCACTGAAATATCTTAGAGGAGCCAAGCGTGGTATTACATTGAAAACATTTCCGGTCTTATAAAACGAAGTTTCGAAAAAAACACTGGAACTCCATTCAGGCTCAAATTACGTGAAAAGCGGATGAAATTTAGTTTTCAGTTTAACGTGGAACAATCTGTGCTTCGTCTTTCTACAACATATTCAAAGTTTGTTTATACAATATAAAGCACATTATCATCTGCGGGCTGATATTTTTTCTCTGAAAAAAATTTCCTAGGATTTTTTTCTTAAGAAAAAAATTGTTTTGCAATGTAGAGGAGTCATTGGATGCCAGTAAGTTGACATCAAACAGAAGCAGCTGTTTGCAGAAGATATGGTTCCGATGGTGCGAGTGTATTTGATTTAGTGTAGTTATTGTTACAGAATAACCAAGACGAAACTAGTTTTGCCATAAATTATCAAAGAAAATGGGTCGATCGATCGGTCCTCCCACCGACCCTACAAACCCACAACAATCTACTTTCATTCTTCTTCAAGACCATCCCATCTGAGCCACAATTTGCTGAAAAAAATAAAAAAGAGAGAGACTAAAAGAAAGATTTTGTGAAATTTCTCCGAGTCCAAACTGTGCTCTGTTTGTTCATCACGTGTTGTAATTGTGTCACACCCTTTGAGCCTCTGACTCCCCCTCCCCGCCCCGCCTCTCTAGACTCTCCTTTACACTGTTATAATAAACTGCTGCAATAGTAAACAGTTATAATAAACTGCGACTGTGATGTATAACTAAAAGATGAATATAGTGTGTATAACAATAAAGTGTGTGGTAATAAAGTCAGAATGCCGCCTCCAGATGCAAAAGGCGGTCTCTCACATCTCGTCGCTTCAAAGGCGGACAACCAACTAGAGCTGATCACGGATGCGATCTATGAGTACCATTAACAAACTAAATTCAATGCGATCTACCATATGAAAGCAATTAAACAAATTTTGTCCTATTTATGAGTTCAGCGAGGAAGTATGCAGTTATGAATGAATTAAGCGAGAAAAAAATGTCATACATTTCTAGTTTGCGCTTCAAAACACGGGTCGATGTTTCCGCAAATTTTTCAAACTCTTTTTGTCGCAAAAAACTTGGAACTATCCGGAATAATCCGAAAAATTTCTGTCTAGAATTAATCCCGATAGTACAGAATAATTAAAGCAAGTCGAGGTGCTCACTTTATGTTTCGACTTTCAAAGTCGAGCACATGTCAGTGCTCGACCGAAAAAGAATAGTTGTAACAGGGGTATTAGATCGAGCACAAATTCGAAACATACCGCAAGCACGGTAGAGCAAGGTCGAAACATACTCTGATCACGGTCGAAACATACTTCGACTACGGTCGAAACATACCTCGAGCACGGTCGAAACATACTCCGATCACGGTCGAAACATACTTCGACTACGGTCGAAACATACTCCGATCACGGTCAAAACATACTTCGACTACGGTCGAAACATACTCCGATCACGGTCGAAACATACTTCGACTACGGTCGAAACATACCTCGAGCAGGGTAGAGCAAGGTCGAAACATACTCTGATCACGGTCGAAACATACTTCGACTACGGTCGAAACATACCGCAAGCACGGTAGAGCAAGGTCGAAACATACTCTGATCACGGTCGAAACATACTTCGACTACGGTCGAAACATACCGCAAGCACGGTAGAGCAAGGTCGAAAC